TTACCTTTTCTATATCGCTAGATGTGGGTACGGAAGCTGCGTGCAATATCGCATTTTAACCGGTACACATGCCACTGGCGTCTACTGTGTCAGTCACGTTTTGCAACGAAACGAATGCACGGGCTAAGTCTTTAGACAAAGTGTCTTGGCCTTTAGATACACACTATGATCGGTGGCTATCTGGAGGTGCAGTCGAGCTATCCTTGAGCCCTGATCACCCGACTGCCACGGAGGCGCCGACATCATCCTGAATACCCTGACTTTTGATCAGTCCTACTCACTCATGACCCAGCTACTGGAAACTGCTCAACGAACGTTATTCAGCGGAAATGTAGATAGTCTTGAGCCCATAAAATTTCTTCTCTCAAAATAATGCTTACAGATTTTCGCTCTTTGGAGACTTTTGGAATTTTCTTCGTGGAAAAGAGTCCATCGCCCCCAGAGCTAATCCAGGATAGGATGGTAACATGAAGAGTGGAGTTTTGCTCTGCTGGTTTAGAAACCACGGAGGAATGACAGTTTATCTGGATCGAACTCATATAGTTCTGCCGCGCAAAAATCAATCTCAGACACAGTTGTTCCGTCTGTCACACGTCCGACAAGGCCAATCGGTTAGATCGAAAGTCCAGTCCAGTGCTGTCCGTCTAATTTGGTGTGAACTTACCAGAATAATCACGCCAGGACCGGTGGACGATCGTTAAAACGAGGACGATGTGAACCACCTGCGATCAAATGAGTTTAAAGCCACACAGTTTGACAGTTCCGTCGAATTGTTTCCACAAATAATTGCTGCAATTTCTGCAACCTTTTCCCGTCCAATCTGATTACTTTTCGATAATATCACGCGTTGATTCCACTGTTGTTCACATGTTTTTGTTAAGTTGTTGGTAGAGTGAGGATGTTTGGGATTTTTGTGGAGATTCCCTCCTTTGAGTGAAGCCAGTTTATGCTAAAAAGCCGAGAAACACTGTGGAGCTGTCTCATTCTTATCGGGAATCATGAGCAGTGCGCATCTCACGAAATTCCGAAGAATCTCGAACCCGCGACCTACTGGCTACTAGTGTGAACATTAAACCATTCGGCCACGAGTGGCTGATCCGCAGTGTGATCAACTCGCACTTGGGCAGGATATAGCGTCGCTCATCTTTCAATCGCGGGATCCATATCACGTGCTTTTTGGATTTTCCCGAGTTCAGTTAGTTACTTGGAGAACAAATGTACAAGCGTTGCGTTAAAGTTGTTGTCTCCCCTCGTCTAAAACCGAAATACCCTTACAACGGTGTGAGCTTGATGAAATTGCCCCAGGTTCGTTAACAATTTCTTGTGAATGGGCTAAAAAACTGAGCCGTTGCAAGGTAAGAATATTCTTGATGTTCAATCCAACTTGATCTTGGGACGATTCCCCCTTCACTTGTGTGCTCCGCCTATGCGCCTTTGATCTCCAATTGTTTTGATCACCCGCGCCGCCACTCATCTTGCCGCAGAAGCCGTCCCGTTCAGTAACCGTGTATCGGCATGCGTGTCCGTATGCGAATGTGCGCAGCTGACCTACGCAGGTTGCCCACACGCGTTCCCGTCTCATGTGATCAATGGGAATCACGAGACTGTCATCAGAAGGGACTACGGAAACCAACACTACTTAGCCATCATTCCGCTTGCCGTTGTTTGGTGTGTATGCACTGTGTCACTTGAGGCTATGAACGTGGACGCTTACGTGTTGTTTTTATAAATCAGCTTATATTTTTTTAAGTAGTATTGCAGAAATACGAACCCAATTCCTTCCTTTGATATTCAGGATTGTCGACCACGCGTGTCACTCAAAGTTCCCAAGCGGAAACCTCAACACTTGGTGTTAATCGTTCATCATACATTCTCAAGGTCTACAAGCGCGAGTCATCGTAATTGAAGCGATAAACATGTTAACCCCTTCGGAGAAATTTATGTCCAACAAGTGACGGGAAAGTGAAGCAACCGATGACTTGTCATTTGACGACTGAAGAGCTTGATCAACCGCGTAGAATATCTTTCCGTAACGAATCTTCCCGCGACCTCCTGGCAAGTATTTTGAACACTTAACCTTTTGGCTACTCGTGGCCGAACGGTTAAGTGTTCAAACCACTGGCAGGGAAGTCGCGGGTTCGAGACTGCTGATGATTCCCAATAAGGATGAAACAGCTGTACGGTGCTTCTCGGCTTTCCAGCATAAATTGGCTTCATTTACAGGACGAAATCTCCTCAAACTTAATCGTTTACTGAACCGCAAAAGAACCAATACATAATCATGCCTCCGGGTAGGGTTAGGTTAACCAATTGTCCGTAGAAGGTCCTTTGTTTTATGTCGGTGAATGGGATATCCCCTGTGTTACTTATTTGATGGATATTTCCCCCAGCGTTTACCGGATTTTACAGTTAAACATCCATAAAAACGGGTATAATGTTAGTCAGTAGCCCCCTTGGCTGCTTGTAAACATCATACTACGGTCAGATGACAATTATAAAACTTTCGCTTAATTGTTCACCATCGTCACCACATAGTTAACCGTAACAATAGCTCGATCAAATAATCGCCTCGTTACCAAATGGTCATACAGTCACTTTTCTTTCGCATTTGGGTGAATGCAGGAAAGATGGCACGCGCTACCACAGAAAGGAGGAGGGCTGAGGGGTTATTTATTAGAAAATGCCAACTGAACAGTTACAGGTCGTTGAGCAGGGAAGCAAAACTCTCATATGCACCTTGTTGACAAAAAATGAGTATCCATCTTCTCTTTAAACGCGTCTTCCTAAACTTTCTTGGATATTCATTGATTGTTGCTCAAATCCAAGCAATTGCTACAAAGAGACTCTACAAATTCCGCAATAGATTACACTTTTCGACAAACTCGAAGCGGATTTACGAGAAACCATACTACTCGCATGCCTCCCCATCAGTAGTATCGCCGTTACACCTATTCCATCTTGGGTGGTTGTTCGCAGTATTCCACGAACCGCACCGCCAGCTCGACTAATTATAGCCATTGACTTTGCAATCACACGCTAACGGTAGACCGTTCTCAGTTACGCATATACCTCGGGATGCGATGGGCGATATGAATATTGACTACTGGCAGCTTAGCTGATTCGGCCCTCGCGAAAAATGGATATCCCTGAGGTAGCCTAACGTTAGTACACAAAAGACGATAGTTATAAAAAGTAAGAACTGTGCTTGATTACTTGATAGACAAAGAATTTTAGCTCCAGATTGATCATCGAGGTCGCGTTAATTTCAGCCGCCTAAAACAGCAACGAATCACCAGAGTAAGAATTTGAAGCCTTAGCTCACAACGTACTGCAAGCTAACCCGCACGAATCTCCTGAGCCAGCCGGTGCCGACCCACTTCCGGACTGCATTTCTGCCATTTTTAAGTCTTGACAGTGAAGTGGCAGAGGAGTGTTTGTGAAATTACAGTTGGTAGGCCAATTCTGATTGCTAAAAGAGTGGCCATCGTTCGTTCGTGATACACACTTTAAGGGTACTGTGGCGTCTCAGTCAGCACAGTTAGCCGGGGCGTCCAAGAAGCACGATTTCGAATCTTGCAGATGTTTAAAAGTTTGCCTAACAGGATAGATGGAACTCTCTAGAACGGACCTCATTCTATACACATGGCATTCATAAGAGAAGGGTGAAAACTTATCCAAGTGTTATGGAAAATGGAACATTTACTGCTTAATAGGCAGCTTGTTCTGGTTCATTATGCGTTACGTTGAAGAAATTATCTTCTTAGAACTGTTCAGCCAATATATATTCGCTGATTGCTCTTTCTTGTACGCACATGGCAACCGGTGGCCACCGGTGGTCAAGGGTGGCCAAAGGTGGCTAAAGTTTTGCAACGTTATTACAACCGATTCCGTTAAAGGATACAAGCCAAATATATTAGTGGCCGCATAAAATTCCTCCAAAAACTATGTTATATTTTGGAGCCCTATTCAAAAGTCACCCTTGAAACCGGTTTGTTTAAGTGCACAACCGATTCAACATGTCCTGTATTGTGCCATGTCCAGTTTCACTAGACTTAGGCACCTTCCACTCATCTGTTCCGGCGCGGTATGGCCCATCGAATTTTCAGACTTGCCACTTCATAGTGTTGAATATGTATGTATAATGTATATGCTCCTGTATTATCGAAAGTCATTTACTATGGCAATTTGTTTAAGTGAGCGAATTCTCAAGGTCAATAAACACCACCGACTGTGAATACGTTAGCTGATGATAAAAAATCGCTAATTGTGGAAAACGTTGACTCACATAGAATGAACGTAACTTTCAGGTATTTTTCCGCCGGAACAAATTTCCTCAACACTCTAGAGTTTAAATGGCTTTTGGAGATGCAACATATGCGTTTGCGCATTCGTGCAAACAAATTTTGGTCGATGATTCTTTGTTGCCAGTAAAAATTCCGTAGTGCACGCTAATTATTTGCTAAACGTCGTGAACGTTTGCTGGCGAAAACCAGAGTTTTCCATTACAGGTTGCGAATTATGCTACGAAGACCTCGAGGTTTATCGATTGGGAACATGGAACATACGTCAATCCTAGCAGACAGCTGAACGAACCTGACTTACGCACACGACTAACATGCGGCTGGGGGTACACGATGCCCAACTAACTAGTCAGATAGAACCTACGTCAACCATACCGGACTGCTGAGCGGGCCGATTAACTGGAAGCCGGTCGCACAGAAACTTAGACAACTTGTGGTTGTGTTCGAGAAAATAAGAGGTGACTGCCAGTTGGTTCCTTTGCCTCCGCAGACAAAACCGCACTGGACAGCTGGTGCTTTGCGTACTTTTTTATCAGAAAATACGCCCGGCTTACTAGCTTCTTCGGATTCCCCGGCTTCCCGTTGGTCTTGGAGGGCACCTGCTGCATTTGTAGTGCACATATTCGTAGCGCGTTGGTGCTTCGATTTCTTGATGAACGCACAACCACCACAAAGTTATCTTTCATGTATTGATTTAAGGCCTTTTCAAATGCCGTGAAGGATGGAAACGACACGCCCAGAAATTTCTCAACGAACGATTGTGAAGCCCCTTCCGAAGCCATAAAACACGAATTGCAAAGCCAACTGTGCGCCGATAATTTTCAAAAGATACCGATTAAAACAAATCGCAAAAAAGTGACGGCAGATGAGGGTGATTTTTGGACTGAGCACATACGCAAAGAAGTGCATCATTTTGACGCTAACGTTTTTATTTCACCCACAGGGGTTTTGCAGGAAAATGCATTGTGCGTCGAACGTGCAGCATCAGGGACGCGTCATAACTTTCGAAAATTCAGTTCCGTCGTGTGAATACTGAGCGCCTTAGCCGGCAGTTAAATGCGGATCGGTGTGGTGGATGACCTTGAAATTTCGTTAATCTAAACAACGTACCTAAGCAATATACTTCGGATTCCACGGCTTTCCACTGGTCTTGGGGGGCGCCTGCTGCATTTGTAGTACACCCATTCGTAACGCAAAGTAGCGTTGGTGCTTCGATTACTGGATGAACGCACAAATACCACAAAGTTATCCTTCATGTATTCATTTAAGGTCTTCTCAAATGCCGTGAAGGATGAAAACGATACACCCACAAATTTTTCAACGAAAGCCACTTCCAAAGCCATAGCACACGAAGTTCAAAACCAAATGTGCGCCAGTAACTGTCAAAAGAGATGGATTAAAACAAATCGCAAAAAATGACGGCAGATGATGGGGATTTTCAGACTGGACACATATGCAAAGAAGTGCAACATTTTGACGTTGAAGTTTTTATTTGACCCGCAGGGTTTTTGCAGAAAAATGCATTGTGCTTCGAGGCGTCAACGCGGTATGGGGCTTTCAGTATTCGCACAATGAAATTGAAGTTTCGACAGCAATGATGTGCCTGTGATGGAATATAGCGATCGGGCGATTGAGTAAGAAGTACTAGTTCAAAAGTTTCAGCCTTATTTAGGTATCCTGATTTCCCATGGAACCTGGGAACTTATTCCACCAGACTTCCGACAGGAGTATTGCTGCATGTGTGGGCAATGAAATTTGGTGGGTTGCAAATAAATCTCCGCACAATAAAGTGGTTTTCGGATTTGGCACGTACGCAAACAATGTGACATTTCGGCGCAGAAGGTGTTACCCCACACATAGAGATTTTGCAGCTGAGAGCATTGTGCCGTTAATGGGCGCCTTTCAAAGGAGCAAGCCGAAAAAATAGAAGACGGCGTCACAACCAAGCAGACTCAAGGAAGGAAGATCACGACGAAACGCAAACTGGGAACGGACCAACTGCAAACAGACCCGAAGCACCCCAAAACAGCCACTCAACCAACCATTGGAATGACAGGCATACAGACCACAACGCAGCTAAACAAAATCACGGTCGGTCCCACCATGATGCAACAGAGAGCATATACCAAAATCTACACAAGTGCAGCTAGGCACGGATGAAGAAGCTTTTCATCTGCGCACTGACGATGCGTCCTCGACTAGAGACGAAACGTTTGCAAGCTCGGCGAACAGATCAACTGCCATTCGATCGACCACCAGTAAACACAATCGAACTACCCATACTTCGACAAACTGACAAGCCGCCAATTCCATTTAACTGGTTCTCAGTTTCACAGCATTTTGTGGCTCTCAGTAATTGCACAATGGATTTGAAATTTCGAAAGTTATGACGTGTCCCTAATAAACTAAATTAATCGGGCAATTGAGTTGAGATACAAGCTCAAACATCTGAGCCCTATTCAGACATCCTGAAGTCTCAGAGATGCTGGAAGTTATCCCACAAACTTTTCAACCAGAGGAACGTTTGCTTCAAAAGAACAACGAAATTTGGTGAGCTGCAAAAATATGAACGTAGATTCGGACGATTTTTGGTTTGAGCACAAACGCAACAAAATGCTACATTTCTGCATAGAAAGCTTTATTCTACTTGTACGTATTTTGCAGCTGAGAGCATTGTGGAGATAATGGTCACCGAATTGTGTTGGAGGCATGGACTGGCTACTTAAGCCAACTGGGTCGTCAAACAATGAAAAAATTCACCGAATCCGCTGATGATGTGTGGCAAGTGAGACTATTGTGCAAAGTGGGTAATCGGAGGATAAAACCCATTACTGTGTATTTGTGCGTTTTAATAGGCCATTTCTGACCTTCATCTCTATGGTGCTGAAAATTTGACAAATTTGCTTGTTCAAATATACGCTAATATGTCCTATCTGAGTGAAGCAAGGTAACCTCTTGCTCCATAAATATGATGAAATGTCATGATTTCTCGCTATCCAGCCCACTCGAAACATATAACAGTCTGTCCGACCGTCACCTCGTTAATTTCTTTCGATCTGCACGAATAAGGAGACACTTGATCAAATCTGGTTTGGTAAGTTGATTAAAACTCTAATGAAGTAATAATGGTGATATAATATGTCATTTGTGGTGTCACTGTCAGGCTATCCATTAGTAGTACCGTCCTGAAAATGAACGCATCCTGATGGGATGAACTTGGCATGATAAATTAATGCATAGAGACTAACCCGGTATCAAAAATCGCTTGAAACCCCTTGAAGGGTCGTCATATCAATGAAGGGGGTAAATGTAATTTAAGCCGCTCAAGTTGTCTGTTCATTCTGAAGAGAGGGTCTTTTCCCAGTAAATTATGAAGTTACAGACTTCGAAATATGATGGGTGTTTTCTAAGTGGTCTTGACGCCAATGGTATCTCTTCAAAACGGTCTGCGGCCACTAGAATATAAATGGATTGGTAAACCACTTATGTGGAGTTTTCTTGAGAAGGAGATTTCGGCAGTCGGGTGACCAAGACAACCTCGACAAACTCAGCACAAGCCAGTGCGAGAAGTTGGACTGTGAATCCAGATGAATCGGAGCATTGTTCGCTGGTTTCACACCGATCGATATTGGACTGATTGAGTCGTGAGTGAGAGGAAAGACCGCGGGTTGCGAATTGAGCCGGCCTAATTACCACTGACAACATTATTACCGACCTGAAGGACGCTACGGTGTTATCCTCTCACAAGAGCTTTGAAAAACGGCCAAGTGGAATTTGTGGTCTGCAGCAACTCAAACTCGAGTGTAGCAGACGAATCAAATTTACTGCTGAGTAAGGCGAGTGAGATTGCGGACTAAAATTTGGAACGGCTCATTCGTACCCCTGTGTTTATCTTGAACAGAAATAAGTAAAACTACTTTATGAATTCCGCAGCTGCTGCAGCGGTTGTCCTGGGCTCTGGCATGGTTCTCGGCTCACTAGTTGAAATTTCCTCAGTCAACTGTATTTGGTGGGGATATCAATATCCCCCAAAAACGCTGTATTTTTATGCGTGCTAGCGAACTTCTGGCATAAACTATGAATAAATCAATGGCCTATTGATATTCCATGGAATTTAAATCCGACCACTTACTTACACGATACCATCTTTTTATTGACATCGCCTGTTGATCGCGTGTTTTTGGATCATTAAAGTTTTTGTCCGAGGTTTTTCATCTTCTTACTATTCGCCGTGCTAGGAGTCTGGATCAAGCAACATAGTTGGGGATAGAGTATTGCCACAATCCGCATTATCATATTGTTTGCTCGCTGCGTGACAGAACCGTAACATATTTGGCGACGCAAGATGGAGGCAGAACAACTCAAAGTAATGTTTGAGCAACAACTGCAACTCATCAAAGTACTTACGGAGCGACTATCAACTACATCTTTGGCTTCGCCGGCGGCGTCGAGCGTTCCACAGTCGGTTGATGGAATCGCTGTCAGTATCAACGAATTTTGCTATGAACCCTCAGCTGGCATAACGTTCGATGCTTGGTTTCGTCACCTCGGAGTGTCAACAATAGCTTAACCTGAAGCACGACATCGCGATGGTCCAACTTGGGGGTCATGGCGGTTCCGAAGTTCATGCAATACATCAGGCTACGCAACAGCCTGGCCCTGTCAAATCTAGCCCAACCAAATCAACCTCGCAGTGTTCTGGTCCGAAGCAAAACAAAGGCTCAAAGAAGACACCACCTTCACAATGTTGGCACTGTGGAGCCTGGCACTTCGTCAGGTTCTGTCCCTACAAG